CCCTACTTGCAAACTTCGACTATTCTTCTGAACTCCTCAATCGCTCACTACGCCTGAGTGGCCATAGTATACCATGTATTGGAGGATCTACATCAGTCCCCGCCTAGAATCAACTTCCCTGGTAGCGTCAGTGTGATTGACCTACCCTCCGGAACTATGTCTAGGGTTTTCCATCGGACTCCTTTGGAGGCTATGACGTCAGCTGACGAATCGTTGCCTTGAATCTCCCCAACTTGAAGACACCGAATACACACAGGATATATAGATGGAACAGGTTAAGGTTATTCGCCTAGTATGTTTTTTCCTTCACGTTCCCCAGTGGAACATAAGGCTTCAAGATAGTGGCTAGAAGTTTCTGTAGCAGTGTTTAGTGTTACAGGACGGGGTTGTTAGCCTCATTCCCAACCTTTCCTCTTTACCAGCATTATTTCTGGCTTAACGAGGTAAATGAGTGCATCCAGTGGCTGGGGATCGAACCCCGGACCATGTGCATGGTCGGCGAGCGTCCTAACCGCTATGCCACCGACGCAACACCTAGTATGTTACGCAGTGTAATAATATCACTCGTCACCTCAGTTAACAGATAACACCTTTTCTATACTCAGACGACGTAAATATATGGAGGGCAATAAGGTGTTCGAAAGACTCAGATAGGTTGCAGGAAGTTCTAGAGCCTCTAGTAGACTGGGCGGTGGCCAGTGGCAGGACTTTCAAACCGAGAAAGTGCAAAGTAGCGAAGTCACGCACTTGTAGACTGCAGAATGAAAGTCACACCATGTGCAAAGGAAGCTTGTCCTGCACAACGTCAGAGCGCGACTTAGGTCTAGTTCTAACGGAAAAAATGAAAACAAGCGTAAATTGCACGGGGGATGTAGTGAGGGCATATGTGGTCATACACTTTACACATAGACAGGTGCACTCACTCCTGAACTCTTTCTAAGGTTGTACAAAACATGCGTCAGACCACACCTTGAAGTGCATAATATTATCGCACCCGACCGCTTAGAATAGACGCCAACTTCTAAGAAAGCGTCCAAAGACGGATAACAAAAGGAGTAGATGTTTTCCGAAATAAACCATATGATGAAAGGCTAAAGAGATTAGGCCTATTCACACTTAGCTACCGTCGGCTTAGGGGATTTGATTACTGCCTACAAAATAACAAATGACCAGAATCACCCAAACAAAGGTGTTCTGACATCGAGTAGGTATAGGCTTCCTCGTGGAAATGCCAGAAGGATAGCCCACCAGAGGGCAAGGACCCGGGCGCGCTCCCACTTCTTTTCACTTCAGGTTTGCCGTCCCTGGAATTCCTTACCGGCAGATGTAGCTTTGGAACCGTCTGTGGACGCCTTTAAACGAAGGCTGGACAATCATGCAGCGACACAACGATTGCATCCGAATGGCCTATCACCTTAAAATCCCATACACCATTCGGCGCTGGACAACTAAGTTCGTCGTTTTACTTCTTTACATTCTCCCCCATCTTACTCTCCTCAAAACTTTAACTACGCCTATTCTTATTGTCATTATTATCAATATATATATATATATGTATATATGTAACTCTTCAAATTTGATCAACTGACTGTTGTAAGGTTTTCTCAATTTCTTTTACCGTCTGTAAGTGTGAATAACTTCACTAATTATATCTATCATTACCATTATTATTACCTCTTTTATTTTGACGAGAGTACCGGAGGACCAACTGGTGAAAGGATCAACTACCTTCACAATGGAAACTGACCTTGATAAGTTACGGATAATTTCAGCCTCTTAACACACCTCATACTACAAACCACATATAATTAATTGCAGCACTACTCCTTATGGAGTCAACCAAAGCTACGACAGTTGATGGCGCTACGAGCTACGCAGACGTTTGCCGAAGATCAGGAACCTATACGTCACAATCAAGAGGCGAGCAGAAAAAAAATTTGTTTATACCAGCGGAGAGGGACGCTATTCTAAGCAACTCTCATATTCTCAAAGGATCAGGGATATATGTCCGCGCTGACTTAAGCCTGGCAGATCGTGTCAAAAGACAGGCTGCGGCACTAGAATTAAGTGAGCGACGCCGGAACGGTGAGAAGAACCTTAAGATTAAGGGTTTTCGGGTTGTCCGAGTTCGCAGTTTAATGATCCCGAAACCTCTGTGGGTGGGCCGGGGAAGCACCAATCTGAATTAACAGTCTGCTACACAAACGCCCGCAGCCTGTTAAATAAAAGGACTGAGCTGGCAAACATGATAGAAACCGGAAACCCGGATGTAATTATTATCACAGAGACATGGCTCACACCCGATGTCACTGACAACGAAGTTAACCTGCCAAACTTCGAAGTGCACAGGGTAGACCGACTAAACCGCAAAGGAGGGGGCGTAGTCATCTACCTCAAGAAAGGCTTAACCGTGCGTAGTATCGAAGCACTCGCCCACGAAAGTGAGTCGTGCGAACTTCTACGCTGCAGACTTAAATGCATAGGCCAAGACATTGACCTCATTGCTGTGTACCGCAGTCCTGACTGCAGTGCAGACGACTTCCTAATAGAGAAGCTAGGCTCCTGGACTTCAAAATGTCGAAGTCTCGTAGTCGGTGACTTCAACGCCCCAACAGTTGACTGGTCGAGCCTAACAACTCCATCTTCAGTCAACTCCTTTGACCATAAACTGCTAGAATCTAGTATATCGCTAGCCCTAGTCCAACATATCATTAAGCCCACGCGCTATGACTCACAGCACTCCTCATCAACTCTGGACCTAGTGTTCTCACACGGTGAGGATGTGGATCTCATACAACATCTTCCTCCGTTAGGAAGAAGTGACCATGCTGTGCTCACTTTCAAGTTCACAGCAACGGCAGCAAGGGCCAAAACCCCAGCTCGACCAAACGTTTGGAAAGCTGACATAAATGCGATCGTCTCAGCAGCCAACTCAGTAAACTGGTACATCAATCCAGAGTCCCAAGTAGAAGCCGCATGGAACCAATTTAAGCAACTTTACGCCCAAGTAACTGTACCCTTCATCCCTTGGTCTGTTCCAAAGGGTCGGAAACATTCCCCCCCTTGGATAAACCGGGAGATTCGTAAGTTACTCAGACGTAAACGCAAATGTTGGAACCTGTTTGCAACACTTGAGACTTCTGAGACCAGGGAATTATATACTACTGCTAGAAATAAAGCTATCGCAGAAATCCGCCAATCAAGGATGAAGTTCGAGACACACCTGGCCCAAAATGCAAAGGCACAACCTAAGAAAATTTTCTCGTACTTGAATTTCAGGAATAAAACACCCAATGGTGTCCCAAACCTGATTATTGACAAAGATACAATCGAAGAAGATCAAGAAAAAGCAGAAGCAATGGCAAACTACTTCTCCCAAGTCTTCACTCAGGAGTCATCACTGCCTATAGGATCAGCTCTGGCTGCATCAGAAGAACATGGGATAGATTCCGTTGACATCGACCAAGGCATCGTGCTCAACTTCTTAATGAAACTAGATGCAGGAAAATCAATGGGTCCTGACAGTCTTCATCCAAGGCTTCTCAAGGAGCTATCAGCCCACATAGCCGGCCCCTTGACCACGATCTTCAAGCTATCTCTCCAAAATGGAGTGTTGCCACGTGATTGGAAAGACGCCATAGTAACTCCCATACACAAAGGAGGATCAAGACAAAGCCCTTCAAATTACAGGCCTATCAGTCTCACCAGCACTTTAATCAAGACACTGGAAAGAATTATCAAGAAAAGCATCATGGCTTATCTGGAAAATAGCAGCTTGTTATCTGGAGCACAGCATGGCTTCCGGAGGAACCTCTCATGCCTGTCAAATCTCCTGACTGCAAGAGAAAGCTGGGTTAAATCAAAGGATGACAGAAGACCCGTTGACGTCGTCTTCATAGACTTCAGTAAAGCCTTTGATAAAGTACCTCACAAAAGACTACTCATGAAATTGGAAAGTCTTGGTATCAAAGGCAGACTACTAGACTGGCTCAGGGAATTCCTCATAGATAGGAGGCAGAGGGTTAGGATCAACTCAAAACTCTCCTCCTGGACAGCAGTAAGTAGCGGAGTGCCACAAGGCACGGTTCTCGGTCCTCTCCTTTTTATTCTGTATATCAATGAGTTACCTCTGCTCACCGACTCCCCTATGGTCCTATACGCAGATGACTTAAAAATTTGGAGGGAGCTGAAGGGCAACAGTGATACGTCCACCTTGCAAGACGACCTCAACAAACTGTCGGAGTGGTCTGTTGAATGGATGCTCCCGATCAACGTGGCAAAATGTGCAACCATGCGCATTGGACAAGCAAGCACGAGCTCCTACGAACTAGAGGGAATAACACTTCCATCAGTTCAGACTCACTTGGACTTAGGTGTCATAGTTAGCCACGACTTAAAAACTACAGCACACTGTCGCGCGGTGGCTGCACGTAGTTTCAGGTCCTTATGGGCGATTCGCAGAGCCTTTACAAGAATTACCAGAGATATGTTCACCTCCTTATACACATCTCTGGTTAGGTCAAGACTGGAAAACTGCATCCAGGCCGCCAGTCCGTGTCTAAAAGGGGATTCACACATTCTAGAAAGTGTTCAAAGGAAGGCAACACGTATGGTTCACGGCATAGCTAACTTATCATATGAGGAAAGACTAGATAGTTTAAATCTCTTTTCACTGTCATACCGTAGGCAGAGAGGAGATTTAATCACAATGTTTAAAATTTTAAATAATGACTACGGACCTGACCTATTCTCTCTTTTCCTTCCCACCAGGTCGGAACACCTTAGAGGACATAGCAGGAGAGTTCAAAAGCCAAGGAGAAATCATATTGCTGTTGAGTACTGGTTCTCACATCGAGTCATAAACTCTTGGAACCGACTCCCAGAAGAAGTGGTGTCTGCAACCTCAATTGATTCGTTCAAGAAGGGTTTGGACAACCACAGAAATCTACTAGAAAAGGATTAACATAGGCTGCAAGCCTTCTATCCTCAACCAATAAATCTGAATCTGAAATCTGAAATCTTAAAATCGATATTGGATATTGGAGTGGTAATACAATGTATACGGTACGTCAGCGTTAAGTATGTAAAACATAGGGTTTTCCCCGGATTGATCCAGGGTTTTTTCGCGTTTTTGGTTATAAAGTCACTTTGCTTTCAAAACGATTATTCACGACTTTGACACGTTTTTCTTCGTCTTCGGTGAGTGTCGCGCAATTATGGTAATATTAACGAATAAATTTATTCGTCATTAATGACCAGTTAAAGTAATGTGAATCTGATGTACTCCTAAAGTGCCTAGAAAAAGAACACGGTGATTTAGTTCCAGTCAAGTTGAAAACCAACACGGTGCCATTGAAGAAATCATTTCAGAACAGATTCAGACTCTACTCTCTAAGAACGTCAGCATTATTTCAGAATCAGTAAGATTCAATTCAGAATTATAGTAAGCCATCCCGGGATAGAAATTTTTATAAGAGACATGTTTACATGATGTTTCTTGTTGGTAAAATTAATGTTTAGGCTTCCAACTTCAGTGGACGTGGACGTATCAATGAAATTTATAAGAGACGTTGCTGAAAGGCATTTCGGTTCTCTCCATCGGTTCTGACGGCTACGTATGCCTATGTTGAACATAATATTCCACCCAAACAACACCAATGTGTCACGAATTATGTTAGCCCGATATTCACTACTCTTTAACTTCAACCTTACCCTCAACTTATCCTAATCTAATGCAAAACTCACCAGGGATTCTCTTTAATATCACCACACTAAATGGAAAATATCTTTTATGAATACTGTATTGTTAACTTGATTTGACTACCTGAACCACAGAGTGTGAGGATAAGTCGTGCGTTCGCACGTGTCGTTTATCTAAAGATTAACCTCATCCACAGCTGCCATGTTTAAATCTACGATGGTCTAAAAATAAGGGAAGTGAAAATTAACGTACCGACGGAGGCCGTCGTCGTTTCCTCATTCCCACTATCAGCCTGTCACGGCTGTAACGGAATGAATACGAAATGAAACCAATTATAACCCAACAATTTCTGGTACCGTTGGTATCTCTTCGCTGAGGCTACATATTTGAAAGTGAAATTATTATAACCCAAAAGTAAAATCAGAATAATTACGGAATAGTGCAATGGTTTATAGCTCATGCTCTGTTTTTACTTCTCTGTAATCAACAATACGTGTTTCGCCCTCAAGGTTGTCTATACGAAAGGTACCATTATTCCTGAAATTCAATAGTTTATCGGAAAAATACCTGTGCTTCTTATAAATACGGGGTTGAAACCGCGTTTTATTGATTTCACAAACGACTGTTGGGTTATGCATACATATATATTTATATAAGTACATCTAATTGAAGTCTCTCTTACAAATATTCTTTCGGATAAGACAATGGTATGGCTTTTGTAGATGAATAAGAAATTTTTCCAAAGTCCTCACGCTAAGTTGGATGGCGATTGCCTAGCTGTGGCAGGCTGATGATAGAAATGAGGAAACGACGACGACCTCCGTTGGTACGTTAGTAATTTTCATTTCCCTTCTTTCTAGACTATCGTAGATTTAAACATAGAAGATATGGAGAATGCAAGAAGCAGTGGGCTTCACGAGACTTGATCGATGTGTTAACCGTCCCCATTACGAAGACACTGTAAATACATTTTTTAGTCTTTTGAATTCGATGGCTTTCAAATTGCACTCACTTCTAGTATCAATAAATCGCTGTTGAAAGAAGAATGTGAAGCATATGTGGCATGTTGTGTTCGTATGTGGTTGTGGTCACATTAATTAGTATATATATATATATATATATATATATATATATATGGTAGGGCGCACTGCAGATGTTTGTTTAGTGACCCCAATGTTTTCGCTAGCTGGTTAAGGTGCAGAACTGGAGTTGGTCTGTGACTGAAGTGTAATTTATTCATCCCTTTTAGTAGTTATTCGCGTGCGGTCGTTGTTGAATGTAATATGATGGAAACAATATATTATGCTGTTTGAATAATAACGTCACCTAAATACAGGAATATGACAAAGTGGAAACAACTACTTTGTAACAAGACTGTCTGTGTAAAGGGATCGAAAATCAGCTAGCTATTTTTTCCTTTGAGAATGTGTAGGGTTTCAGCTTTGAAGCGGTTCTTTCGGTTTTAGTTACTGTGGCTGGTCTCTCGGTGGGGTTTGGTTGTCACACGAATGACTCCGTTTTAGTATGTAAATTTTAAGAGAAATCTTGTTTATTCATTAACATATTGGATATTTGCTTTGGCCTTTATCAATTATGCTTCTTCTGTCGCTCTGTTTTGGTGAGCTTAAAACTCGTAAAAATGCATTTGTAACTCTTTATGTAGACTTTCGAAACAATTAATGTACCTAGATTTAATCCAGGTTTTGCATTCTATAATCACAGAGTACACTTAGGAATGAAATAGCCTTATGAATCCATTTTTATCTCATTGCTTATCTCATTGTTCACTGAATAAAGGAGCTATAAAACAAATTAATGTCTGGAACTTCAGGGATGTCTTGGTAATTTACAGAATTAATTTGACTTTTCCGTAAAACATGTCCTCATTTCGCCAGTTTTTTATTGACTTGTGGATTACGCCTTGTTATCTGTTTGCTTGCCATTTTATAGTGTTGTAAATCATTCAACATTAACTTTGAAGCTCTGTGGTTACTATCCCAGGAATGTAATTCAGATTGCCGGAAAATGCTATGAGGTAAGAACTCAGTATATGTTTAATATAGTGTAATTTTACTAAAATATGTTTCATAAAGCCTGTTTTAATTGATTTTAAGAATAAGGATTTTTAACCTTTTAGATTATAATTTTGAAAGCACACTATATTTAATGCAATTCTATTTGGGTAGGCCGGGCAGAAAAAATGTTCATTATATCTTCGCTTGCCCACGTTGGTTGAAATCCCCTTTTTATAAGGCAGTAATGTCAACACGTGTGAAAATGCAAATTAAACTAGGGTCACCTTTTTGTGTCAATTTGTTTGTGAACTTTGAATGCAGTGATTGAAATTTCAATGAGAGCAGAAGCGATCATTAGCGACATGCCTTCTGTAGTTACTGCAATTTAAGTGGTTGTAACTCTTGAGTATTGCGGTTGCTCGCATTTTCATCTGCTAACTTAAATTGCCGGTTATGTATATTAGCACAGAGTTTGAGTTTGTTCAAATCAATTTCTTACCATCCCTATTACAGCTTTACATGCTGCTGCTTTGTTAGTTCAAAGTTTAGAAAACTGTCAACCGAGAATTATGAAGTTAATTTTTGTAGTATTCGTAAATGTACCATCTCTAATTTTTGAATTAATCTAACAGTCATGAAAAATGTTAAGCATAGGTTAAATTTTTAATGTTTCACAGTTTAAGTAAATGCATAAAGTGGTACTTAAAACGTTAAATGATTAGTGGCAATCGGCAAGAAGATATGTGCTTAGGTGTCATGCTTATTGACCCTCTCCCCCTTTGACACTTCACTCTTGAGTTCAAGCCCATGATAGATCTCTTATAACACTGCAGTGGTCATATTGGTTAGTCATTGATGTTGTTAGTGTCACATGATAGTAAAAATAATACTGAGATTTGTAAAAAGCAAAGTACGCAAAAAGAGAAGAAAGATGGTAAATAAAGGAACTTCATTATGGCATGGATAAAGTGTGGATGTATCTATACAACCACGATTTCTAAGTCATACTTCGCATATTCTACAATTATGTATGTTAGTGGATTTGTAAAACACGAACAAAACTTCTAGATTTTTTTGTGTTCAAATCGATGATTTTGTGAACTGATTCTATGCCATCATCTGCAGGGTGAGTCAGTCATACTGATTCACTGACTGCAAAATACTCGACTTCAAACATCGTTCTCTTTACTATTTCCTTCCATTCCTTCGCGATCATTATTTTTTCTTAATGTTCTACAGTGTATCTGTAGTTATGTAACGTTGTGTATCTCATACATATATTTTTTACTAATATCGTTCTTGCATTTTATTAGGACTTTATCGAATCGTCGGTTCTACGTTGTCTTCCTACTAATAGTTATTTCATCAGTCTTAATTTTTATATTTGCGAACCAACGGCGTTTAAAATGTCAGTTTACGCATTGTTTTATGTCTCCGGAAGACTTAATAAAAGTATCAGATTCTTCATTTACTAGTGACAATTTTGATGTTGCTTATGGCGATCACAAATCCTTTCCTGTTGTTATTTACAACAGAATACCTAAAACAGGCAGTACATCTTTGGTCAACTTAGTCTATCGACTTATAGCAGTAAAGCGTATTCATACACATGTGTTACACGTGAATATTTCTACAAACAGACATTATATAAATCGTCTAAGTGAATTATATCTTATCGATAATTTAACACATTGGAAAAGTATGTATCCACTAATGATTCATGGTCATTTCGCTTACATAAATTTCGAGAAATATGGTACATCCTTCATTCCGGTATATATCAATATGATTAGAAATCCTTTAGACAGATTAGTATCATATTATTATTTCATACGATATGGTGATGATTACAGACCATATTTAAAACGTAGGCGTATGTCGGACCCCGTCATTCGTAACCAGACGTTTGACGAATGTGTTCTATTGAAAGGAAATGACTGTAATCCACAACTCCTTTGGGTTCAGGTAAGATGTTGCTTCTACATGTTTATCTTTTTTATACATATTTACGTTGCAAATGTAACATCTAACATCACTACGTTTATCGTTAATACTGTTAATGATACCATGTAACACAAGAATTGGGACCCAAATGCCAAAGGTCAAAGAAGTTTATCCTCTTCATACTTTACACTTCACGGGCCACGTCTCACAACCATAAAGAAGAACTCAGCAAACAGCTTCGCACTGTATATTCTTTGATCGCCAGTTCACGAGGATTAGCTGGCGTAGGGATAGCTTTGAGTACTAGGGCAGAAAAGACATTACTTGACTGGATCCCAGTAGATAGCCGAATGTGTGCTGTCCGTCTGAACGGATCAGTAAGAAGGAGAAAGGACTGCACTACTCGCCGATGCCTTTTCGTAATCTCCGCCTACGCCCCCACTGACTGCAGTTCGGATGAAACGAAGGATGAGTTCTACCAAAAGCTGTCTAGTTTGGTGAGAAAGGCTAAACGCTCAGATATAGTCGTTCTAGCTGGTGACTTTAACGCTCAAGTAGGGAAATTGTGTCAATCTGAGAAGGATGTCGGTGGCACCTATGGAGTTCCGTGCCAGCGAACCGACAACGGTGACCGTCTCCTACAGTTCTGTTCAGATAATCATTTGTTTCTTGTAAGCACTAACTTTAAACACAAGGAGAGACACTGTTTAACCTGGCGACCCCCATCATCAAACCAACGCTGGACACAAATAGACCACATAGCAATAAGCTATCGTTGGCGTGGGTCGGTAGGAGATTGTCGCTCCTTCTGGAACACGTGTGTAGATACCGATCACGCACTGGTCCGGGCTCGTGTGTGCTTACGACTGAACGGACGTAGGAAACAGCTGGCGGTAAAACCATCACGTCCCCAGCTCGATCAGGAAACTAAATCCCTATTTGAGGAAGAACTAGCTAAACGCATATCTGTTTTCGACAGCTGTGCTCACCCTGGAGAAGCCTGGAAGAATATTCAGTCAGCCATAGATACAGCTGTAAAAGCTGTGAATAAGGCAAATCCAAAGGTGAGTAAAAACCACTGGATTTCGACTGCCTCATCCGAACTGATAGATGCTAGAAGACTTATTCCGGCGAGCTCCGAATTCAATGAGGAGCGAAAGCTGCACAAAAGGAAACTTACTAAAAGTCTCCGCAAGGACCGTGAACAGTGGTGGCTGACAAAGGCAAAAGAGATGGAAAAAGCATCGGCGATAGGCAACACTAGGCAACTCTTTAGACTCATCAGGGAAACGGGTGGGAGAAGGCAAATCATAAGTGAGACTATTTCTGAGAAAAATGGCTCCTTAATTAGCTCTCAGGATAGACGCCTTGAACGCTGGAAAGAACACTTTGAGGGACAATTTAACTTGCCTACAGCCACACTGAACCTCCCCGACATCCAGAACACACCCGAATGGGATATAGACACTGGTCCGCCGTCTGTAAGTGAGGTCACAAAAGCTATCAGTAATTTGAAACGAGGCAAAGCGGCAGGACCCGACGGAATTATTCCGGAGGTGTTTAAATATGGGGGTGACATACTAGTTTGTAGATTAACTGAGGTACTAGGCAAAGTCTGGGAATCAGAGACAGTGCCATCAGACTGGGGTAAGTCACTTATTATACCGATATTCAAGAAGGGAAACAAGTCCTCGTGTGATAATCATAGGGGGATCAGCCTAACGAACATAGTCTCTAAAATCCTAGGCTCAGTAATCATGCATAGACTAAGCAGAACTCGGGAGGAACAGACAAGGGAAAATCAAGCAGGCTTTAGACCAGGTAGAGGGTGCATAGATCATATCTTCACTCTTCGACAGATTCTAGAACATAGACACACTTTTCGGCGTCCAACAATTGTCATATTTCTTGACTTGAAGGCGGCCTTCGACTCCGTGGATCGAAAGGTACTATGGCAATGTCTGACTGTGAAGGGAGTGCCAAGAAAGTACATTGCACTAATCAAGGCACTCTATTCAAACTCACGTAGTCGTGTAAGGGCTTATGGGGAATTGTCATCTGAATTGGTAACAACCAGTGGTGTCCGACAGGGATGTCCACTTTCCCCATTTCTGTTTAACTTCATCATAGATATGCTGATGGAAGTATCCTTAACTGAACGTAATGACTTAGGAATCGACTTGTTACCAGGGAATAAGTCTTATGGACTTAGAATATGCAGATGACATAGTCCTGTTAGGGGAGGATGCTGACAAAATGCAGAGTCTTCTGAACACCTTGAGCAGCAATCTTCGTATGTTTGGCATGCGATTCGCCCCTACAAAATGTAAGATGCTGCTACAGGACTGGACCACGTCAACTCCTAACTTAGTGATAGGGAGTGAAGTGATAGAACATGTTGACCACTTCACCTATTTGGGAAGTTGTATTAGCACCAACGGACTGATTGGCGATGAAATCTCAGCACGGATCCGAAAAGCTCGAGCTGCTTTCGCTGACTTACACCATCTCTGGCGTAGGCGTGACATCCGGTTATCAACCAAGGGACGTGTGTACTGCTCATCAGTTCGCTCCGTCCTTCTCTATGGCTCTGAAACATGGCCAATACGCGTTGAAGACATGAAAAGGTTGACTGCTTTCGATCATAGATGTCTGCGATCTCTGTCTCACGTTAGGTGGTTTAATAAGGTAAGTAATGTTGACGTTAGGCGTAGAGTGTTGGGCAAAGAGGGAAAATCAATCGACGAGGCTATAAAGTTACATAGACTAAGATGGCTAGGTCACGTGCTGCGCATGCCTAACCACCGCCTCCCCCGACGGGCATTGCTAGCTGATATAGGTTCAGGTTGGAAAAGAGCCAGTGGTGGCCAAACAAAAACATGGCATCAATCCATGAAATCCTTGACAGTTAAACTGAGTCAGGTAGGGAGATGCAGACTCCCGGGTTGGGGCCCTCGGGACTCTAGGAATCAATGGCTGGAGACAATAGGTGACATGGCTCAAAATCGTTGTCAATGGCCAGCGCAGATGTATTCAGTCTCTGTAATCTTTCATATTCCTTTCTACCATTACCCATTCTGTTTCACTCTTATACTTGTCAAACTCTATTGATTCTCTTCACTCATCTTCTTGTCTACCTCTGTGTGCTATTTGGAAGGTGGCAACTCGAACTGCTGCACTTCGGTGCCAAGTTCTATGTTGAATCCAGACAGACAGACAGATTCTTTGATCGATACTTGAATATTGTGTCTGCGCCAAAGATGGCACATGCCAGCAGATGGCAGACAAGTCTTTTGCATCTGTTGTGGGATTTCGTCAACAATCAGTCCATTTGGACTGATGCAACTTCTTAAGTAAATGAAGTGGGCAGCATGCTCAACCAATTTACTCCGCATCCTTAAGCTAGTAGCAGGCACAGACCAATGATACACCATCTTACATTTGACAGGGGCGAATCGCATGCCAAACATGGTAAGATTTCTTCTCAAGGTGTTTGGAAGAATGTGCACTTGGTTATTGTCTTCACCAGAAGGACAATATTATCCACATGCTTCAAATCGACAAGACTGTTTATGGTACATTAATTGACATATAGCCAGCAATTTTGAACTTCATTTTTCTTTGTACAAGGTATTAGGTTTATTAGAATTTAAAATATAACTGAACAGTTTGGTGTAGGCCATCTTATTTCAATTCTTTTTTGTCTTTGCTAATTGCTGTAATTTTTCATTTCAAGGTACCGTTTTTTTGTGGACAAGCTGTGTTTTGCAGAATACCTGGTAGTCGAGCTGCTTTAGAAACCGCTAAACGACACGTTATTGAAAAATACCTCATTGTTGGTTTAACAGAAAACTTTGATGAAATGATACAAATACTTGAAGTCCTCTTACCAACTTTCTTTTCAGGCGCTCATAAATTAATATCTAATCCACAGAGCAATTGGTATTTAAGACGTACAAGTCATAAACTACCTATAAGCCAAGCAACAATTGGGTTTTTCCAAAAAAACTCCATATGGCAGGCGGAACAAGAATTTTATGACTTCGTGAGTAAAGAATTTCACTCACTTTACAACATTTTCCAAAGTCGATCCTTGCAAAAAACACCTTCAAAAGAAAAGATCATATTTGACAAAATAAGTTCGTAATTGATGTGACATAAAGAATTTTGTATCATACTTTATCTTTATAACTGTAAACGCTACATGTCTGTCTTGATTTTTTCTTTTCCTTTATTCATCTTCGATTGCATTTATATAAAATAAATAATTTGTATTATCACGCTGTGAATCTAGAATTCTAAGTAATCTAGGCGTAATCAGTAACCTACAGTCGATAGGTATGCGGATTGAATTCAGTTTCAGTAGCTGATCTTTGAACACTTATTAATCATATTACCTTTTTGCATGAATATATAGGTAATTCGTACTCAATAGCTGGCCGATATACAGCTCTTGTTTGTGAACTACAGTGAATCTGTTATCTGTTGTGTTTACTTCTTTTGAAACACACTAGGTTCTAGTCTCAGTCAGGACACTAACTCACAGGGATGTAGGTGCATCTGAGTCATGCGGCTGCAAATAGAAATAAACCCGTTTTTCTGGTACCCACTATCAACTAAATGACATCAAGGAATGGAATTCTAAAGAGATTTATTGTTTCGAATAACTTATAGGATGGATGGAACGGTAGCGAGGATAACAGTTATTTAGGGGAACATAAACTAACTGTTGGATTTTTCATGAAATGTGAGCGTGTTCAATTAAGATTAGATATTATTAAAACTATTTCTTATGCTTTGTTGAATACCCATGAGATGAAATATTTTAAAACGTAAATACGCAAAGCTTTCTTGTAAGTGTATATGATAATTAAGTGACTTGGAGGATTTTTCGATTTTAAGTTGTTCACTAACTACACTTTTATAGAAATTATACTTAACATGTTTTCTTGGAGAATGTGAACGACGTTTTTAGGATGTTACCAAAAATGAGTTAACTGCCTTAAATAAATTATATCTGTTTGACATTGTTAAAGTCATAAGGTTCCATTGAAATAGTTGACTGTTTCTATCGCAGGCGAGTACATCTAAGCACGCCTTCAAACCTGACGTTAAGATAATGAAATGTGAAGAGACGGAAGCGGCTTTTGAAGGTAATATAATTCTATTATATGTTCTTTTAGAAACACAAGAAAAGATGAAGGTTAGAACTTAAGATATGTATAATTATTGTGTTTATTTTAAAGGAACCCGTTTACGGTATCTTTATCCTACAAAACTTCAAGCTTTATTTTTGGTTCTTCTTTTGTCGTCATAGCTTTTCGTTATAACATAAGTCCATTAAAATGTATCATTATTTTTTGTGGTGAAAATACCTTAACTTCTGTTAGTCACTATAAGATGAAGCAGTCGCAAACAGAAAGCATTCTGTTAAATTATTGATATACATGGGAACACGGGTATTTTTTATTTGTGAATGCCTTTAAATATTCCAAAATGTACATATCCATAATTGAGTTTTTAGTTGTTTCTAAAGTTGGTTGTCGTATTATGTATGCTGTGGCGAGAGGTTCGGTCTTTTATTATTACCCAGGTTAGACGGTTGAAGCTTGACATACTGGACTCAGTATGGACTTACTTCTGTGAGATACTGTGTCAAACATAGAACTAGAAACCTACTCAGACAACTCTAATGTGTGAAACTAATATTACTAGAGCAGAGCCAATTATGTGGCCTAAAATTAAAGGTCTTTGATTGACCAACAGGACATTTCAACCTGTACATATACCTCACCGTGATTTCATCGGCTTTATTCTATGAAGAAGTGGCTCTCAGGACCCCAAGAAGTGTGAAAGATTTATATTAATATCTCATAGGGATTTTATACATATAAATCTCCACAAATGTACATATGCATAATTTTAAAAAGTATATCACATGAGGAATTGTAAACAATGCGGGTGAACACTTCGATTACAAATGATAACATCAATGGTGATGAAATATTTCCGATGAAAATATAAAGCCCATTATCTCATACATAAAACCAATTCAAGAATGCAAATAACAGGAAAAGAAAAATTATTAGCATTAAATAGCGTAACGTCGATAAAAAAATGTAGATTTGTTTTTCAATCATTAGGAAATACAAAAACATTTATCATAATAAATGAAAAGAAAAACATCAAAAATAAAAGAAAACATGATATAAGTCCATAAAATTCCAAAAGCAGCTGCCAGAAAAAAAATTTGTATCTCTCACAAACGACAAACAAAATAAAGCAAAACATGTCAAAAATTCTCAGTAAAACTAGAGTACATCAATCCCTCCGTCATATTTTCTAGACCATTTGTCTGGTGGTTTCCAATTAGCTGTGTTTTGTTTATTTCACCGTGGGATTTGGCGATTTTCGTCCGGTCAGAGAGAATCGCTAAGATTCGGTCGACATATTCCTGGCGGTTCACCGGAACAACGCCTCCGCCTCTATCAGGACGACTTGTGGTTGTATCATGCTTTTCCTTCAGTTCTTTAGGCTGGTCTGGTCTGTGTAATCTTTGGTCAACAGATTGTGAGAGCTCGGCTTTGAATTGGTAAATTGATGGCAACAATCGAGAAGAGTTGATTTGAAGTGTTGGAATCCGTGCAGCGATGCGGCTATAAGATCGAAAGTCTGGCTAGTTAAGCTGTTTCGCTTTGTAAGTTGCACTTGAGTGTGCAGTCTGTTGACACTGGATACGCTGTTGCAGGACTTAGGACCCAGTGACGCAGTGACCGAGTGACACAGCTTGTAGCTGAGATGTCGAAAGAATGTCAGAATACTGACTGAAGACACATTTGTGGGGATCAGTGGGAGATCTCCTCTGTACTTCTACCGGCTTGAGGCTGTCAGTATTGTTTGTGATTGGTGAAGTGAAACTGATTTTCGACGATAATAGAGATATCGTCGTCAAACTGTTGGCTTTCACCAGTCGATACTTCATGAATACGAGGGAGCTTGTCTTTTAGACAAGTGGAGAACAACTTCCGGCTGGTGAGGGTCGAGTGGAGTTTCGCCTCAGACAACGTCTTACCGACTGATTTAGAAGGAGGATTTCCGAGCATATCTGAAGTCTGATCACCCTTAAACTCCAGATTGACGAAGATGCTTTTCTTTGGAACTGAGTTGGTGGCGAGATTGGAATGTTTATCCTTCGTCTTTTTATCAATACAACGGTTGGGGTGAGGGTTTTCAGCAAGCCTGCCTCTTAGGAAAGAAAATTCAGCGTGAAGGCAGTCAGAACGACAAGCCTCTCTTCACGAATAGCAGAGGGAGTGAATAAGGCTTCTACTCCTGGGAATAGGCACCACCCAACTATAGAGAATAGTTAATCGTCCATTCCATCCAGCTACGTGCTCGGTGGATGGATATATTTGGGAGCTGTGTTGTTGTGTGTTGTGTGGGACACACCAGGAGAAGGAATGCCTAGTTCAGATTCATTTTCTAGAGTGAATTCTAAAGACGCTTGTCAAAGCATCCAACAACTCGACTAAGCTGAGTGTTTTCAAGCTTTGACATAAGACAACCAGCCAGTAGTGGACCCAGTGGTGATTCCATCGAAACACCCTACTTCTGTCTATATATCTGGTAGTTAGAGCTAACCTGGACGTTGGATGTGCATCTGAGTGAGAGTTGTTTAAGGCAGGTTGTTGGAAGCCCTAGATCTAAACTATCTGCACCGATATAGTCGCATATCTAGCAGATGGTTTCTGTGAGAGACGCATTAGTTAACAACGAGGTCACGTCTAATGAAAGCATGACTTTGTCTGAGGCGTCGAAATCTCTGATACCCTCAACTAGTTGAATTGTATCAGCAGTGACAAACTTAGACACTTGCCTTGTGACTGCTTCCGGAAATTTCCGCTAGCCATTGAGCCATACGATGATAAGGGGAACCCATCATATGGAGGATCGGACGAAGAGGTAATCCATATAAACGTGAGATTATGGAGCCGACGCGTGAGACACGCTCATGTGAATCTGAGGAGATCATTGACTCGTTCGTCATGTTTTGTAGAACATTTGTCAGGTGGTTTCCAATTAGCTGTGTTTTGTTTATTTCACCGTGGGATTTGGCGATTTTCGTCCGGTCAGAGAGAATCGCTAAGATTCGGTCGACATATTCCTGGCGGTTCACCGGAACAACGCCTCCGCCTCTATCAGGACGACTTGTGGTTGTATCATGCTTTTCCTTCAGTTCTTTAGGCTGGTCTGGTCTGTGTAATCTTTGGTCAACAGATTGTGAGAGCTCGGCTTTGAATTGGTAAATTGATGGCAACAATCGAGAAGAGTTGATTTGAAGTGTTGGAATCCGTGCAGCGATGCGGCTATAAGATCGAAAGTCTGGCTAGTTAAGCTGTTTCGCTTTGTAAGTTGCACTTGAGTGTGCAGTCTGTTGACACTGGATACGCTGTTGCAGGACTTAGGACCCAGTGACGCAGTGACCGAGTGACACAGCTTGTAGCTGAGATGTCGAAAGAATGTCAGAATACTGACTGAAGACACATTTGTGGGGATCAGTGGGAGATCTCCTCTGTACTTCTACCGGCTTGAGGCTGTCAGTATTGTTTGTGATTGGTGAAGTGAAACTGATTTTCGACGATAATAGAGATATCGTCGTCAAACTGTTGGCTTTCACCAGTCGATACTTCATGAATACGAGGGAGCTTGTCTTTTAGACAAGTGGAGAACAACTTCCGGCTGGTGAGGGTCGAGTGGAGTTTCGCCTCAGACAACGTCTTACCGACTGATTTAGAAGGAGGATTTCCGAGCATATCTGAAGTCTGATCACCCTTAAACTCCAGATTGACGAAGATGCTTTTCTTTGGAACTGAGTTGGTGGCGAGATTGGAATGTTTATCCTTCGTCTTTTTATCAATACAACGGTTAAGGTGAGGGTTTTCAGCAAGCCTGCCTCTTAGGAAAGAAAATTCAGCGTGAAGGCAGTCAGAACGACAAGCCTCTCTTCACGAATAGCAGAGGGAGTGAATAAGGCTTCTACTCCTGGGAATAGGCACCACCCAACTATAGAGAATAGTTAATCGTCCATTCCATCCAGCTACGTGCTCGGTGGATGGATATATTTGGGAGCTGTGTTGTTGTGTGTTGTGTGGGACACACCAGGAGAAGGAATGCCTAGTTCAGATTCATTTTCTAGAGTGAATTCTAAAGACGCTTGTCAAAGCATCCAACAACTCGACTAAGCTGAGTGTTTTCAAGCTTTGACATAAGACAACCAGCCAGTAGTGGACCCAGTGGTGATTCCATCGAAACACCCTACTTCTGTCTATATATCTGGTAGTTAGAGCTAACCTGGACGTTGGATGTGCATCTGAGTGAGAGTTGTTTAAGGCAGGTTGTTGGAAGCCCTAGATCTAAACTATCTGCACCGATATAGTCGCATATCTAG